AGGGTGGAGCCTCCTATGTCCATGACAACATCATTTGGCTCCACACTCCTGTTAAGTTCCCAGAACTACATTTCTTCCCGGTCATATACCCTGATCCCATGCTTTAGCACCTGAAAGGGTCTTTGAAGTCAGGGTAGGCTAGGCTCCATCAAGTGGAGAGAATGCGGCCCTGGGGGAAGGGTCTGCGCAAAGCCAGGTGTTGGGAGTTCAGGACCAGAGGGAAGCTATACCCAGGAGTAGGTGAGAAATAGAGTATGAACTGAAGTCAGGTGACCCAGGCCCAGAGCTGGCACCCCTCCCCCAAACACCTTGAAGCACAATTAGTTTCTTGTAGCTTCAGTTTCTGCCTCTGCTAAATGGGGCTGTTAGTAGTTTCTGCCCTCCTGCAATGCTGTAGAAATGAGAGGCAGTGTGTGTGAAGACTAACAAGTGTGCTTAGGAGATACTCAGCAGCTCTCGTTTATCAGTGTCTTCTTAGCGGTCCTCAGTGCCTGGGGACTGGGGATACCTGAAACTGGCCAGTCCTGAGCCTCACACATATCCATAATTGGGCGCAGTCAGAGATTAATAAAACAGAACAGCACCGTCAATGTTCATGGGGTCCAGAGCTAAGCACATGGTGGTCTGTGCTGCTGCTCCTGTGAGAGGTTTCGCCATCACTATTTACATATGAGGAAACAGGCTGGGAGAAGGGAAGTGAACTGCCCAATGTCTCATGGCAAGCACACCGAGGGCTGGGACTTGAGCTCAGGTCTAGCTCCACCGTTGTTCAGGCCTGAGGTCTCCCGGGCCTGCTGGTGAGGAAGGCGCAGCTCAGCCCCTGCTCTTCTCTTGCAGGTCATCCTTTTTCAGTATTAACGCTACCAGCGCTTGCGCATCTGTCCATGGGCACCGCACAGCTGCCCCTCAGCCGCTGAGATCCAGCATCCAGCTGTGGCCAGGGATCCATCCACCACCTCTGCATACACCCTCACCCGCTGCCGTCCTGCCCTCCACCAGTGGTCCCCCCACCCCAGGCCCTGCTGTCTTTTCCTGCCCTGCTGAGGACCAGAGCCCACCAGGAGCAGCGGGGCCCCTCTTTGGGAAGGTAGGCTCCCTGAAATGTGGCATCAGCATGAGAGCAAGCGGCCTGCCCTTCCTCAACAAACAGGAGTCATCGTCAGCTGATCACAGCAGCAAAGGCACCAACAGCTCCCACTCCACAGGTTTTATTCTCCCCCACACTGGCTGTTACTTACAACCACCTTGGAACCATCTCTGAATTCTGAATAGCCAACAACCCCCAAAGTTATATACTTTGTTGCTTTTGTCTGGAAAGCTCTACAGTGTTTGTGGGATGTCCCCAAAGGAAAGCTCTGTTCTAATTTTATCATTTCCATCTGTCTGGTTCTGTCAAGTTAACTCAGAAAAAGAAGAGACACTGACCAACCCTGAGAGGCCCATAGGGCAGAGATGGAGGCTGCCCAGATGAAGAGGCAGAGGGACAGGCAGGGATGGGTGCCAAAGACCCCCTCATTGGCTTGGAGGAGGAAGCCTGGGTACACTGGACTTGGAGGGGCGCTGACCATTTCATGGAGAGAAAAGAGCAAACTTGGGGGCCCTTCCCCCACCAACTGCCCAGCAGGAGTCATGGCAAGGATGATGTCTCATCTGCATAATGACACTGCTGAATGTTAGGGTGGGCTAGGATTAGGGACCCTTGTTGGCACTTCTCAGTCCCAAGAGAAGGGCCTGAGCCAGTCTTCTCTGGGGTAGGCTGGGACCATTCATGAAGACCAAGGAACAGAGCCCAGTGCGATGGCAGCCGGAGTATTAGTTCTGATTCATTCCTGAGGGAAGAGAGGTGTCCATGGCCTCAGTGAGTACGCCAAGCCCAGGATTCCAGCTGGCACCTCTGCAGAGCATCTGCATCACTCTGAGAGCAGAGGCCAGTTCCAAATAAAGGGCTCAGGTTACACAGGTCCGGCTTACGTTTTCAGGGGATGCCCGTTTGTCCCACACTTACCCTGGAACTGTGGAACCACTGGTGACCTGATGTACTCCTCACTAGAGGCTGCTAGCAGTGCTTTAGCCAAAGGCCTCCTCCTGGCTTTGAGAAGGAGACTCCAGGACAGGGAAGGCAAGTTTTAATATGTGTGCAGTTGCTGTCCCTGCTTCACCCATGACAAACATTGCTAATCAATCACAGCACTCTCTCTCCGTGGAGTGTGGATAAGGTTTCAGAATTCCCATGCCTGAAGTTCCACTTGACATGAGAACCACTGCTATTTGCTGTGGGACCTAGAGGAGGGCTCGGCACGGGTGACATCCCAGAAGGAAGCTTGCATCTTCTCCCTTCCAAAATTGTCAACTGACTGAGGCCGAAGAGAAAGCGCCTCCCAGAATGCTGTGAGTGTGGTTCAGTTCAGAACTGCTCCAGTACCCTGTGCCAGGCACTGATTCAAGCAGGAGGAACCTGGCCTGATCTGTGGCTTTGGGAAACCCAGATCTTTCCTTTGATTTTTGCTCGTAATGATCAAAACCCCAGTTGCAACCATGTGGGAAGTGGCCAGCTGAGCCTGGGTCACTCAGGACCCGCTCTGCCTTGAGCCTGCCCCCAGGGTCTGAATTTTGCGTGGACCATGTGCCAGTAGCATGTTGCAGTTCAGATGTCTCCACTGCCCTGTTCAGAATGGCCTGGGAATGTACAGGCCAATGAGGCTATTTATTTAAATACACAGACGAAAAAGGGGGGAACACACAAATGGAAAAAATTGTAAGCACTTTTTTTGTAAAACCAATGTCTGTTTTGTTACATACCTTTCATGTCGTGCTTTGTAAATGTCTTATTTGTGTACTAAATAAAGTTAATGCAAGTAGAAGTGCTGGCACTTAAATCCAGAATACGATGGGATTCCATTTCTTTCTTGCTCTTCGGTTACGGGCTTGGGTCCCTGACTTAGTTGTGAGCTGCTGGATGTGAGGTGCATTCCTAGAAAACTGGTACCACAGCCCAGGCAGGGGACTAAGCTGAGGTGCGGCGATGGGTTTCTTTTCTAACAGTGTTGTCCTGTGTGTTGACTATTTTGTGGGAAGTCAGGTTGCTTGCTGACCCTTGGTCTGCTTTCTGAACACCATCTCTCTGCTGTGTCCTGAGCTGCTCTGCCTTCCAGAAGTTCTCTGGCCAGTGCTGTCGACAGACGCTCCTCTAGTATGTTGGGGGACTGAGGGGAGACATTTGAGCTGGATAAACAGAACAGGTAGGAGACAGGAGGGTGCAGGGAAGAAGATACATAGGGATCTTTGGGGGGGAAGAATCCAATATGATGGCTTTGTCAGGTTCTAGGGCCATCACATATGCTGAACAGTGGTCTGGTAGTTGTCTGATTCATTCCTCTGTAAAACTTTTTGTTCAAGTCAAAGCCCCAGGTATAGAGAATAAAGCTGCTTGTAGGGTGTGGAAGCTCCCCTACCTCCTGCAGGAGGAGGAAGGGAGGGAGAGAGGTAGGGAGGGAGGGAAGGAAGGAGGGGGGAGAGGGAGGGAGGGAAGTAAGGAGAGAGGGGAGTAGGGAGGGAGGGGAGGAGGGAGGGAGGGAGGGAGGGAGAGAGGGAAGGAGGGAGGGAAGGAGGGAGAAGAGGCCAGGGGTATATCCCTTATTTTCCTCAGTAGCTTTCCACCTTATCTTTTGGACAGGGTCTCTCGCCCATCATGGAGCTCACCAGTTGGGCTGCAACAGCTAGCTAGTGAGCCTGGGACCTCCCGTCTCCACGCCCCCAGCCCCGGCCTTTCACCTGGGTGCAGGGATCCACACTAAGGTGCTTAGCCTGTGTGGCAGGCACTTTGCCAGCTGAGCATCTGCTTGGCCCTTTATTGTTTCTTTATCCTCTACCCCTGACACTGGTTTGGTCTCGACCTCTAGTCTGTGTTTCTAACTCTATTTGCACATGATAGAGAATGTACACTTAGTTGTATGTGTACACGAGAGTACATATGTGTTTCTTTGCTTAGTGTACCTTCTGTTTTGCAAACCCAGTTTGAGAACCACCAGTGGAACTCTACCCTGTTAGTTTTTTAGGGGAAACTGAAGCCTTGGAAGGGAGAGGTGACTTCCCCAGTCTACTGGATGGTGCAGCAAGCCAGGGGGCCTGAACCTCCCTTGGCCGGTGGCTCTCCTGCAGGTTCACTCTGAATTCCTAGTTTGAGGTTTTTTCCTCTGCAGCTCTCAGAAGATCTCTCCCTAGCCTAACCCCTCTTCTGTCTCTACAGGGTAGCTTGGGTAAACCAGCCATCATAACTTGAGGTCTGAAGGGGGATATCCTCCATGCAAAGATACAGGATGCTTGTGGCCCAAGAGTGGCCCTGGAACACTTTACCATTCCCCTCTACTCTGGGGTGACTGTATGCACAGTGGACAGATTTACTTTTATATCTGTTTTTTATATTGGGCCTTACTATTGTAACCTGGGCTGACTCTTGAGCGAGGGGTCCTTTGGGCTTACTCATCCAAGTGCTAGGATACAGTGGCACAGGTTGATACGTAAGAAGCTGTCAGCTTCTTGGACTGTCTCATTTGACACACTGTGGTGCTTTATTGTTTTAATCATTCTTGTAACTGTGCTATAGATGTTGAAAGTTGAGGCTTAGAGCAGTGATTGCATAGTGTGTGGCCATGACAGAGCTGAGATTTGAACCCTATATAGGCGCCAAGGTACCTTGTGGCTCCAGTGCCCAGAGGGAAAGGTTGTTCTGGGGGAGGGTGCCACTGCTGAGACCTAGTGAGTCACATTTCTCTGAGCCACAGATTCCTGTCTACAGGAGGAGGTTCTTGCTCCCTTAGTTGCTCATCCAGTTAGAAATATATGTCATAAGATAAAAGTTCTTAAACATTTTCGTGCATAAGAAGTAATTGGAAATGCAATTGCCAAGCCCCATTTCCAAATATTCTGAGTGGCAAGTCTGGGCTTGGGTACTGATGCAGGTGAAATGGGGTGTCTTCTAAAGCACTCACCCTTGGGGCCGCTCAGTGCTGGAAACCTTTATTCTGAAACTCCCATGTGCAGAGGGAAATCCCTGATGGAGATGCCGAGGCGTTCACAGCTTGGGCTTCTGTGTGGTCTTCTCCATCCAGGCCTTGCGGCAGGTCCTGAGGATCCACTCATGTTCATCGTCATCTGTAGGGAGAGCAGCCGGTTACACCCATACTCACAAGGCTCCTACTGGCCCTGGCCTTGGGAGTCCCCCAGGTGGGCATCTCAGGCCTGCAGTGCTTTCCAGCACCAGCTGGTAGCCCAAATGTTTAGCTCTGAGGAGTTGGAGCAGAACATTAACTGTCATAGCATCTCTCAGCCAATTTCCTAGGCTAGGAAAACGGATCAGCTAGAGAAGAGTTCATGGTCTGAGGATGGAGCTGATGGACACAACCCAAGAGCATTGAGGCACTTTGATTAGTTTGATCCAGGCAGAGTGGCGGCCTCACATTCATTTGCCTGACATTCAACAGCAGCAGCCCCCCTGCACTGGGCCAGACCTTGGCAGAAGTACTGGGAGACACAGCCTTGGGTACCAGTTTTTCTCTTCCCGTGACCCTTGGTTTCCCTCTTTGGACTCAGGTACACAGTGGGAGACACAGAGGGGACTGCGGGTGTCATTCTCTCAGAGGCCAGATATAGCCCTCTCCCTGCACACTGTCCTCATGGCCTCCTCCCCACAAATACTTCTTTCCCAGGGCTGTGCAGATGAGCAGGGGCTCACAGGGGTCTGGCCACCGGTGCCCAGCCTCCTGGTCAGCACGTGGGAGAGCCAGGAGGATCTGAGCTCATGGACGCTGCTTTTCCAAGCCTCACAATCGAATGAGTCCCAGCCTTCATTCTATAAGCAGCACCCCCCTTTCTTCACGGGACCCTCTGTGGATTTATCTTGTTTTCCTTTCCTCCCTCTTTCTGCTCTAAACACACACCCAGCCCCTCCCCCACCACAACAGGGACTCACTCTAATGGCAGGGCATGCACCCCTAAAAATGCATGCAGCTTTATAAAATATGCCCTCTTGCTTTGTGTGCAAATGTGTTTTTAATGTACAGAAATGGCATTGTGCTGTGAGCGCATTGTGTGGGACTTCTTTCGTTCTGTGGCACGGTTCACTTTTCCTGTGGCCCATGTACAGCTAGGTCTTTGTTGTAACCACTGCCTCCTCGTCCATAGCTGGCTGCTCTCATGGCTGACTCTGTTCTCCCGGTGTCGCCTCCAACTCCTCAAGACCAGGGATATCAGGCCCAGTGGGGCTTCTGCCTTTGTAGATGCGGGGGAGAACTTGCCTGGGTTTTGTTCTCAGGGAGCACCATGGAGCTGCACAGATTTCACTCACCTGCGCTCCCACGCTACCACTTTCCTGCTGTTCTCTTTTGTCCTTCCTGTCCATCCCTGTGTCCATCCCTGACCTCAGGCTGGCTTCCTCTGGGCCACATAAATGGAGGCATTTTCTCCTTACCTCTGCCTAACTCCCTGCTTCCTCTTCAGGTGACAAATGCTAGAAACTAAGGATCAAGGGGACTCACTACAGAAGGCTAGTAAACGCCTCCTCCATCCCCTGACCAGGGACCCTCCCTAGGGCCACCCTCCTGGGGAAGCACCAGGCCCACACTGGGGAGACGTCCATGGATAGCTGAATAGGCTACACAAGCCCCCACATCTCACCGGGTCTCTGTAAGATACAGCAGGGGATGGGGAGATCACACTCACTCACGTCACAGGACTGAGGCTTTAGATCCCCTAACTCTGGGATCTCAGACACGTTCATCAGGAGCTGCAGCCTAACTTCTCACCCCAGGGCGAACTTGATGATGCTGGGGCCAAAGTTGCCTCCAGAAGAGTTAGCCCCTACCTAGCCTTGCTGGTGAGAGCATGCTCTGGCCCTAGGAGACAGACCTAAGCAGCCGGTGGGCCTCAGTTTTCACCTGCAGGCCGCCTGAAAGGCCTGGCTAAGGCTGACAACCCAAGGGCGTGTGATGGGTGCCATGCTGATGTGTCGGCACACAAGGAGTTAACCGCTGGTGGAGCCCACTTTCGCCACACTGAGCAGCCTGGTTGATAATTACAGTTCTGAAGTCTCCAGGCTATTCGAATCAGTGCAGCTGCAGCCTCTTCAGCGGTAACCCCTGAAACCAGACAAACTGGGTGTATTGTGCTGAACCAGTCCTCGGGCCCCTCCCTGATCGTTATAAATTGACAGCAATGGACTTAACAGCCCTCTTCACTCCTCCGTTTGCTCTCTACCTGGCTGCACAGCCACCAATTTGAATCCCAGATGCCTTCCCTCGGGCAGCTGCTCCTCCACCCTCCCTCCACCTCCTCGGTGCCTCCTAGGCTCCCCTGGCCTGCCACGCCAGGGTGAGGCTGCCCGAGCACATTTCATCAATATTTAAAATGGAATTAAACCTGTAGCTTTGATTAATGCTTCCTGGAGCCCGAGAGTAGTGATTACTATTTTGCAAATTGCGATTGTTGGAATATGTTAATATGATTGTCAGAGAACATCTTCACCTTCTCGGGTAATTTTCCTCCTTTTTTGGCAGGAGGGGAGGAGAAGGGGAGGAAAGCAAAAAAAAAAAAAAAAGATGGGGAAAACACCCCTCGAACTCTTTAATCAATTGTAAATGATCAGCCCTGGCAGAGTTGTGGGTGGTGCAGAGGGAAGTGGGAAGGGTGGGTGGGGACTTCTGTTGGGTGCATTTAGCATCATTCTAAGCTTTTGGTTCTTGTTGGCCTGGTAATGTCACTCTGGGACACTATCCTAAGGAAGCAATCTAGCTGTCACCAGTTGTTTAGAATCAAGAGAACAGAAGATGTAGATTTCTAAACCAGGGAATGGTTACTTTGTTGTCTATTCATTCATTTGACAAATGACTTCTAAATACTGTACATGCCAGAAGCCTACTGGCTTGGGGGGAGCAGTGGACTCTCACTGTAAGCCATGGGCAGGGGATATTTAGCAGCCAGCGAAAATGATAGTTGTGAAGTCGGTAATGGCAACGCGGGAAACACTTTTGATGAGATAATAAGCCAGAATAAATAAGATGATGAAATACAACAAAACAAAACAACCCCCCAACAACAACAATCCATGGACTTTTACACAGAAATCCATGCTCCATGTAAAACTGTGGCTCGAGGAAAAATTAAAGGAGATAAAATGACTTGGTATAACTCTGAGCAGTGTGATTTTCCTTCCTGTTTTTGGTGTTCTCAAATCTTTTTCCCCTTATGTGTGTTGTTCACAAAAGAATTTAAAAATCATCCTTGCCTTTTTTGTCTTGCCCTACAGTGTAATGTCTTGGTGCTTTCTATATGTTTTGTTCATTGAAATACAAGATTTCTAGGTCCCTGAAAACATTAATATTTTTATACCTTTAAAAAGTAAAAATCCTAGCATAAAAATGTTGGCAAAAATACACAGAAATCTGCAGTGTGGCCATCTCCCAAAGGAAAGGAGAAGAAAATACAAAAAAAAAAAGTAACTTTGCAGTGGAGAAACTGGCCTCAGCTAGTTTCAGGACAGTGCCAAGCAAACGCCAGGGAGCCTGTCCCCTTGTTCTGATTAGATGGCAATGGCTCTTCACCTTTGTGGGCTTCCTCCCCAGATGCCAACCCCAGTCTAATTGGAAGAGAAGCATCTGAACTCTATGGATCAAAGCACATCCTAAAAATGCCAGACCAGGGCTCCTTAAAACTGTCACCCAAACAAGGAAATCGGCATCTGTGTGTGTAGTCTACTTGTAGAGCACTGAGATCAGTTCCTAGCGCTGAAAACCAAACCAAAACCCAAACCAAATCCTAGGCAGGCATGGTGGCACACATCCCTATTCCCAGCACTTAGGCAGCAAAGGTATGCAGATCTCTGTGAGACTGAGTCTAGCCTGGGCTAGTAGTGAGTTCTGGGCCAGCCAGGGCTACATAATGAGACAATGTCTGAAAACAAACAAAACTCACAAAATAAAGGAAAGCCATTAAGAGGAGCACAGGAAGACACTACCTGGAAGGGGTCCAGAAACAGAAAGAGGATGTGAGGGAAGAAAGGGGTTTCTACTGAATTGAAAGGCCTTAGTTAAGTTAGTTCACCAACATTAATACCGATATAAACGCACTGAGTTGCCAGGTGTACCACACGACAGTGGCTATGAATAGGAGGAAACGGGCATGAGGGGTGCTGAGAATTGCTGTAGGATCCTCACACTGATTATGTGACTGTAACTGCTCTAAAATAAACAGATTATTTCTTTCAAATGCATGAAAATGGAGTGTGTTCTTTACTGACCAGACATTGTGCTCTCCAAAAGAAACCAAGGCTCTCACACAAGTCAGCTGCCCAAGTGAAAGTACTCACAGTTTTGTCTCCCTTGGCCCCTCATACCTTATTTTTAAAATACTTTCTTAGATAATTTCTTCCTTTCCCATTAGAGCAGTGGTTTGGCAAAACCCCTGGGGGGGTATCATATAGTCATTTATCAGATACCCTACATATCAACTATTTACATTATATTTCATAACAGTAGCAGAATTACAGTTATGAAGTAGCAACAAAGTAACTTTATGGGGGGGATGTCACCACAACACGAGGAGCTGTGTGTGAGAGTCACAGCATTAGGAAGGTTGAGAACCACTGATCTGGAGCTAAGCTCTTGGTGCAGGGACCACTGCCCCCAGCATGGGTACATGCTTTGTCTGGTGAATCTGAATAAGCTTTTTTCACTCTGATTTGCCTCAGGAGTTTGAAGCAAGAGAATAAAGGAATTTCTGGCTAGCCTGGGCTACACAGACCTTCTAAAACACCAGGCTAGTAGATAGCTGAGTGGTAGAGCTCTTACCAGATATTCACAAAGAGATCTTAAGTTTGTTCTCAGCAGAAAAAAAAAGAATCAAGAAAGGCCTAAACAAGATAATACCAACTGTGGCATAGTGTAAACATCTATGTTGATTATTCCTTTTAACACAAACAATTGTTGAAGTGTGATTTCTTTCTGAAGTCTAACTTCCTGCAGTGCTACAGACTGTGGGGTTGGGAAAAGGCCTATGGATTTACTTGTCTGGACACCAAGGACCTCATGATGTGTGTAGGCTGGGCCCGCATGCCTACCTCCACTCCACCCTCACAGGCCCTGTTTGGATGCCAGACTTCC